TGTGTGTGTGTGTGTGGCTGCATGTGTGTGTCTGTAGCTGCCTGTGTGTGTAGCTGCCTGTGTGTGTGTGGCTGCCTGTGTGTGTGTGTAGCTGCCTGTGTGTGTGTGTAGCTGCCTGTGTGTGTGTGTAGCTGTCTGTGTGTGTAGCGCCTGTGTTTGTGTTGCCTGTGTGTGTGTAGTAGCTGCCTGTGTGTGTAGCTGCCTGTGTTTGTGTTGCCTGTGTGTGTAGTAGCTGCCTGTGTGTGTGTGTAGTAGCTGCCTGTGTGTGTGTAGCTGCCCGTGTGTGTGTAGCTGCCCGTGTGTGTGTTGCTGCCTGTGTGTGTGTTGCTGCCTGTGTGTGTGTAGCTGCCTGTGTGTTGAGGGAAGGGGGTGGATTGTTGTCGGCAGAGGTGGAGGAATGAGGAAGTGGGTGGCGGCTCACTCCGCAGTGTCGAGTGACAGCGAGGGGGGTGGCAGTGGTGGCGCTGTTGGTGGGGGTGTTGGTGGGGGTGGTGGTTGGGGGTGAGGGTGTTGGTGGGGGTGGTGTTTGGGGGTGGCGGTGGTGTTGGGGGTGGAGGCTTTAACTGTGCTCACTGCAGTTCGCGTGCTGTAAGCCGCTTGCACCAGGCGCACACACAGCGCGTGTGCCCTGCACCACCACCACCGTGGTTCCTGCTCTCCGCTCCTCCTGTGCCGAAGCACGTGTAGCCAGAGTCACCCACACACCCACGGCTCCCATTCACAAGAGACGCCTCGTTTTTAGTAGCGACTTGATCTTTGAAGACACCGGGGGGAGGAGGAGGAGGAGCAGGAGGAGGAGGTTTCTCTGCGTCTATCTCCTCTCTCTCTCTCGCCGTTTCCGCAGTAGCAGCAAACCCTGTCGGCAATGGCCAAGAAAGTCCTCTACGTCCATTTGACCGGGGTGAGTTTTCTTTATTTTTTTGTTAAAGCAGCGGTCGGGGTGGGGTGGGGGGCGCTCCCGCTGCTGCTGAGAGTCGATTGAGTTGAGCCTTTCCCGTGGGGGGGCTCACTCTGACTCATGGGGTTGGTGTGTTCGTGTGTCTCGGCGGTAGGGAGACAAAGGCGGCCGGGCGTGGTGCTGGCCACCTACCCCACCTCGTGTGCCGTGCCGGCCCTTCATAGGTCGCTACTCGCTAACAGCTCTTAGCGCAAGTAAAGGCCCCGACGTTGATGTCTGTGTGGTGGTGGTGGTGATCTTCGTCTCCGAGACCAGTCGGTGGCGGCGGTAGTTAGCGGCGCTGTGATGATGTCCGCGAGCCAGTGTTGGTGTTGCCCTTGGCGCTGCCTCCGCTCTCCGAGCCAGATGCACCACGTTGGGTGGTCAACCTCAGCCCTGGGGGGAGGGCAGAGGCGAGCGGGCATTGCCGCTTTGCCCACCCGTCCCAATATGCCCCATGCTCTCGCATGCCCGTGTCAACCCATCGGGTTTAACTCCGTAATTACTGTGAAGGTGAATTGAGGTCCGTACGGCGTACAGCCGTTTCAGTACGGTCAAACAAAACAATATTTTGTCTATTTTGTGTTCTCCGTTGTATTGGGGCTTTGTTTGGATGAACGTTGACATTTATATGCGGCACGTGGTGACCAATAAGATCTGAATTTTTTCTGTAATAAGGTGACGAGGGGTGAACAGGTGTGTGTGCTCTCGAACTCACGCGGGGTCCTCGTGGTGGTGTTTAAATTGGGCGCGCTCGCTGGGACAGCGCTCGCCCACAGCAGCCTTGACAGGCATGGAGGAGGAGAGGGGGGGCGGTGATCTTTGTGTTCTTTGCGTTCCGTTGCGTTGTGCGATTGTGTGACGGCTCCCATCGCTCTGCTGCTGTGGGTTGTGAACACGTGGCTGGCGGTCTACCATTTCGGCCACGATTTTCTGAACCCGTCATGGGCCTCGACGAGTAACCCGGTGCTGTGTGTGAAACATCGCCCGCTGGGGAGACAAAGGCGGCCGGGCGTGACGCTGGCCACCCTACCCCCTCGTGTTGCCGTGCCGGCCTTCATAGGGTACTCGCTAACAGCACCTTTTCCCACGAGTCTATGAAGGCTACACGGGGGGGGGTTCTTTGTCTGTGACGTGCAAGAGTGCAGCCGCCCTTTTGTCAACCCGTTACTGGGTTGGGGGGACATCCCGCCACGTCGTTGTTGACCGCGGGGGTTATTTGACCATATTTCGCCACGCTGCTCCGTGTGGGGGTTGGCCAAGGCGGGGAGCATAGATGACGGGGCCGCAGTGCGATACAACGCTGGATTTTACTACAACTGCCCTTGGTCGAGAGAACGGTGCACGGTGAAATTAAGCAAGGTCATTTTACGAATGGGCGACTTAAGGCATCAAGGTTTAACGACTCAAAGGAAATGTAGTGATGTTTCAGCTTCCCAAACAATCCCCTCGTTTCAACGAGGCAGTCGCGGGTCACTACACACCGTCACCCGTTCTCATCAGCAGGGCTGCAGCCGCTTAATGCCGATGCCACACGACGTACCCGGTAGGCGATGTGGGCATGTGCCATGGTGAATTAGACGTGGGGCACAGCCCTGAAGATTTGGGACATTCCCGGTCGTGATCGGAAAGAGGGAATTTGCGTCTGTAAACATCACAGCTGTCAACCCACACGGTTTACCCCGTATTCTTGTGCAGGGGAATAGAGTATTCAGGTCCATACGGCGTACAGCCGTTTCAATACGGGCAAAATATTTGTCTATTTGTTTGTGTTTCTTCCTTGTGTTGGGACTTTGTAGGATGAACGTTGCGATTTATAGGGGGCACGGGATGACCAATAAGGTCAAAATTGGTCTGTAATAAATTAGGGCACTGATAAGGGGTTGACGGGTTTGCATTTTGTTGCAGCTGTAATTCAACTTAGAGCCATCCACTTTATCACTAAACCCCCTGGGTGATGATAGCCTTCCCCATGCCGTGTCGGGTCAGGGGGGGGCTGGTTTGACCGTACTTCACCACGCCAGTCAATGCGGGGTTGTTGAAGGATATCGAGAGGGCCCAGGACCGGTTCGGACAACTTCACCTTCTCCGTGATTGTTGGCCACGGCAGGGAGTTGAAGTCGGGGCTTCGAGTTCGTAACACGGTGCGCCAACCACTGCCCCACCGATTCGCCCACACTTGAATTAATATAAAACGAAGGTAACGGCGGCGGTTAATGGTTTAGTTAACGTTTATTTTGAGCGGAACAGGGTTACATTAATCCCTCTGCAAGTCTCTCAGGTTAACTTGGACCCCGGTAGCTTTTGCTTAAAGCAATTTCACGCCGGTAAAAAGAAAAATCACGCGAGTTCTCCACCGCTATGCCAGACCAGCCGGCGCATATGATTGCAGCAACGACGAATGATTGAGCAGGGGGGGCTTCTTGGCTTGGCTGAGCAGTATCTCCTGGTGTGTGGGTTGTTTTTCTCGGCATCGTATTGAATAGGATGACGGGATGCGCGCGTGCCTGCTGAGTGTCTCTGTACGTGTGGATAAGTGACGATTGTCTGAACCGGTCCTGCGTCCTTCCTTAGGTCGACTCGACCTCAAATGACTACCCGGTGCGGTGTGTAGTAAAAGTCGCCATTTGGAGTGACAAAGGCGACCGGGAGTGGTGTGTGCCGTGCCGGCCTTCGTAGGTGCTACTCACTAACAGCACTTGCCCTAACAGTCTGTTACAGGCTACACGGGGGATCTTTGTCCTTTTTGCGTGGATAAGACAACAGTGGTGAACGTTTAAACTGGCCTAGGTCGACTTGGCCGTAAATGAGTGTCTGGTGCGGTGTATAAACATCGGTGCTGGGGAGACGAAGGCGGACGGGCGTGGTGATGGCCACCCACCCCATCCCTCGTGTGCGGTGCCAGGTGGTCATCTAGCAGAACTTGCCCCAAAGAGACTGTTAAAGGCTATACGGGGGACCTTTGTCTGTATACGAGCCAGTTCATTCAGCCGAGCCGTGGTGGGATTTGTGTTCAATCCCCGTGGTTTCTCGTGACACAGCGGGGTGGGATATTCGTCTCGGTCTTGATGACTCCATAGGAAGGGGAGGTGATTGAACTAAATAAATAAATAATGCACCTGGAACAACAACAACAACCACGGGGGTGAGGTTGGGCATGTTGTATCCATGTGCTCTGTCGCATTAGTCCCGCACCCAGTAGACGTTGGGCCAACGTTGGAGTTTGGTTAGAACTGTTTGGCGCGACATTGGCCTGACGCTCCACGTTTACTGTGGTTCCTCCATCGCTCTCCGTGTGCCGCGCGTTCCATCACCGCGCAGGTGGCTGAGAGCGGGTTCATGTTTTATTTTTTACCTACGTGACTTTACCGAATAGAACCAAAGAGTATGGATCCTTGCAGTCACGAAAGCTTCAAATCTAGAACAGTTGTAGATTGTTTGCAATTGCAATTTAAATAATTACAACAACAAAAAGCATTATCTCAGCTGACCTGTGCAACTGGCATTGTTTGTGATGGTTTCGCCTTTGGTAATTCACGATAATAACCTCCCGCACTGTTCCGATGTTAACTGTTGAGTTTGATTCTGCCTCAAGGCCAATAACAGTGGAGAATATTTGAACTGGTTTTGGGCCTCCCCTCGGTCAACTCTTAAACGAGCACATGATGCAATGTGTAAACATCAGCACTGGGGAGACAAAGGCGGCCTTCCTCAGTGCTTGCTTACGGCACTTGCCCCCTACAGGCTGTTCACTATTTCCCGCTCCGAGACGTCTGCAAGTTGCAGGGTGGGTGTCCCGTTCACCGCCGAGCCTCGGAATGCACAAGCGGCTCGGCGTTCATTTTATTCAAGGAGGTGTAGCGCCGCTGTTTTTAAAGACGTCGCGTTCACTGGAGAGAACCGTAGCGACACGACCGCAGTCTACAATAGCTGGCGCCAAACTGTGCCGCACGCCATCCCGCGTGGCCTTGTGGGAGCCTCGGTACGTCATCGGGACGGGTTAAAGGAAGGCCTTACACGCTGGATCTGCGTCTTTTTTTGCGCCTCTGCGTTGTGTTCACAGCCCGGCTACGGTGGGCTGGAGTCGAGTCCGCGAGTCGCGGCGCGCTCCCCTCCGTCCCCCGCGGCTCCGAGCGCCGCGACGCGGCCGGGCGCGCCGGCAGGACGGCCGAGCCGGCGCGAGCGCTCGCTGCTGCTGCTGCTGGCGCTCGCACTGCTGGGCCTCGCCATCGCCGGCCTGGGCTGGGGCCTCAGCGAGCGACGAGCAAGACACACAGGTGCAGGGTGAACACCACACACAGGTGCCAGGTGAACACCACACACAGGTGCAGGGTGAACACCACACACAGGTGCAGGGTGAACACCACACACAGGTGCCGGGTGAACACCACACACAGGTGCAGGGTGAACACCACACACAGGTGCAGGGTGAACACCACACACAGGTGCAGGGTGAACACCACACACAGGTGCCAGGTGAACACCACACACAGGTGCAGGGTGAACACCACACAGAGGTGCAGGGTGAACACCACACACAGGTGCAGGGTGAACACCACACACAGGTGCCAGGTGAACACCACACACAGGTGCCAGGTGAACACCACACACAGGTGCAGGGTGAACACCACACACAGGTGCAGGGTGAACACCACACACAGGTGCCGGGTGAACACCACACACAGGTGCAGGGTGAACGCCACACACAGGTGCAGGGCGAACACCACACACAGGTGCCAGGTGAACACCACACACAGGTGCAGGGTGAACACCACACACAGGTGCCAGGTGAACACCACACACGGGTGCCAGGTGAACACCACACACGGGTGCCAGGTGAACACCACACACAGGTGCGGGGTGAACACCACCACACAGGTGCCAGGTGAACACCACACACAGGTGCCGGGTGAACACCACACACAGGTGCCAGGTGAACACCACACACAGGTGCCGGGTGAACACCACACACAGGTGCCAGGTGAACACCACACACAGGTGCCGGGTGAACACCACACACAGGTGCCAGGTGAACACCACACACAGGTGCCGGGTGAACGGGCGCCCCGCCGGCCCAAGCGCGTGGCCGCGCCGTTTGGGCGATGCGGCGGCAGCGACGGCGGTCGACACACGCAGCGGCCCGGAAGCTGCGGCCCATGGGCCCCTGCTAAATCTCGTAACGGCACGTGCGGTTTCACGCTACTCGGCTCGTGGTTCTCTTTTTCACACGGCCCGCGGCCGCGTGAGGCTACGGTGGCCGCCTCTAGGTGCCGCAGTGGCTATGAGATGTAAACTACCTCTAGGTGCCGCAGTGGCTATGAGATGTAAACTACCTCTAGGTGCCGCAGTGGCTATGAGATGTAAACTACCTCGCCTGGTATGCAGGATGTTGTGGTTTCAATCCCGACCCCGACGCTTACTGCATATTTTAAGTTTGCGTGTCTCTCTCCCCGTGGTCGCAGGGATTCTTCTCCGAGTCCTCTGGTTTTCCCTCCACGTTTTGAATCGACATCACGTGTTTAGAGTATTTGGCTGCTATAAATGTCCACGTGATAAGCCACTTCGTTGAACTATCATTTGTGGCCAGGTCGTTTCTGAAAAAGAGCTCTACATATCTCAGTGGGCCCTTATCTGGCTAAATAAAAAGTTTAGTTAGAGATAGAGATTTTATCAAAATACACGAAGAGGGGAGATTTTTGCCTCATCTTGAGTGGTCTTTTCTAACCACAAGAAGTGGTTACCCCCAGCCTGTGTAGACATAGGTCACAAAGCATAGATGGGTAGTCACAACAGGTGGCCACCCTCTGTACAGGAGGCCTCATTGGATTATTTCCGGGTCGTCGGTTGGACTGGAGTTGGTATGACTGGTAGTAGCCACATTGAGAGGAATACTGGATGTTGTATGCCAGGTGTGGAATTATTTTCCGGGTCACTGGGCCCGGACTGACCTGGCAGAAACGAAGCCTTGGGCCTAACACTGCGATATTTATCACCCAAATCACTACATTTTCTCTTCGTGGAAAAGAGTGGGGATTTGTGAAGGAAAACTACAGCTCTGAAGAATTAATCCGATATTTCGAGAACACTCTTTGTAGCAAAGTGGCCGACTGAGAAATCCGACAAACGAGCTGAAGGGAAACGCCACAACAACCGATGTTGTTGTTATTGTCACCGCTTGGGTCCGCCCCAAAATGCCGAGGTTCTTTCCACCACCGTTCCCAAACGGCTCCAGAAATAAGTGAGCGATGGCACCGCACGCGAGGATGAGGGGGTGGCGGCCTTGGCATCCGACTGCGAGCAAGACTCCTCTGACAGAGACGCCGCTGTGTGCGAGATGTCATGGGGGTTTGGTACGGTCATGCGGGGCCCGCGTAAACATTCTGTCGTTTGCTCTCGTAACGGCTCGGGTAAAAGTGCGCGCGTGCGTGCGTGAGCGGTGGTCTGCGCGAGTCCCCCCTTTGCCCTGCGTGTGAACTGTCAGCTCTGGGGAGACAAAGGCGGCTGGGCATAGTGCTGGATACGCCAGCCTGCTATCAGGACTCTTCACCCCGTGATGGTCCTTGGCAGCACTTGATTCTAGCGCTTGTGCCTACGGTGTGAGAGGGCAGAATGGAGGGTTTTGTCTGCTGTAAGACAGCACCGCGTTTTGGATGCTGCAATATTTCCGCCGCTGATGTCAGCGGCGATTGATAATCTGAACTGATCCCGGGCCCCCCTTGCACCGTTCCGCACTAATCAACATGAGGAAGTCTTTGTCCAACAACCCTGATGACTGATACGGTGTAGCGATGCCGTCATCCAGCAGTGGACTGATAAAGAGCCGGCGTTATTCTCGACACGTTATTCCATTCGATCTCTGGTTCACTTTCTGGCAACAGTGCTCTCAACCAGTGCCAATATGTGTCTGAACTCGGCCTGCGGCTCTCGTAGAGATAGACTGAGCCTAAGCAGAGATCTGATTTGGTTTCACAGAGATCAGCCATGGGGAGACAAAGGTGGCCGTTCCAGTGTGCTGCTGGAGAAGTTTCTTTCATCGGCCACTGACTCAGCCTCATCAAGATATTCTGTCCGCTTGTTTAGACATTGTCTGCTTATTTATTCAGCCTTATCAGATCAGTTGCTCACTAACAGCACTTTTGCCCCTGTGTTTGAGCACATGAGCTGGGGAGAAGGGTTATTTTCTTTGGCTTATGAAAAATTGGATTTGAGTGACATGTGATGAATTATTTTGCTGCGTGATGGGTAAACAACTTGGTGCAGTTCCCCGCAGACTGAGATAAAATTGGGCCCAAAACTCTCATCCGTGGGATTTGAGATGTTCCCATAATGCAAACCAATTGTCACGGCAGTTTCTTACGTTTTTTGCCCGGTAGAGCCGTATCTTTGAGATGCTTTCTTAATTTCTGCTTTTACTAAATCTTGTTGTTTCCAAGATTCTCGTGCTGTGTGTGCCCCCCCCGCCCCCGTCTGTATCGATGACGCCACAGTGGCGAGATGTTAACAGCTTCGCCTGGTCTACAGGAGGTCGTGGGTTCGATCCCGACCCTTGACGCCCACTGCTGCTGCTGCTGTATATTTGGAGGCTGCATGTCTCTCACCGTGGTGGCGTGGATTTGTATCCGCATCCTCCAGTTTTTTCCCTCGACATTTAGAATCGACGTGCATATTTTTGGCTGCTATACATTTCCGCACCATCAGCCACTTCGTTGAGCTATCGTTTGTGGGTAGCCGTGTCACTTCTGGAGAAGATCTACGTAGCTCAGCGGGGAGCCAGCAGAGCGGCGGACGTACGCGGCGAAAGGCGCCGTCTCTCGCCGGACGTGGCGTTCTCATTCCGAGAGCCGTGGAAAATGCCACAAGTTAGAGGGCAATTTTACGGCGTTGATCGATTTATTGCGTCGGAGAGCGGATTTATAACATCGCAGGATCGCGATATGTGGCAGCGGCTTGGGGAGGAGGTCCTTATCCAGCAGCGGATTGACCATGGCTGATGATGATCCATTTGTAGATACCCCACTGTTTTCTCACGACCCTCTTGCTCCGTTATCAACAGGTGAATGCACACTGGGAAAGCAAGAGCGGCCGCGCGTGGTTCCGGCCACACCCACCCCCTCGCGCGTGGTTTCGGCCACACCCACCCCCTCGCGCGTGGTCTCGGCCACACCCACCTCCTCGCGCGTGGTGCTGGCCACACCCACCTCCTCGCGCGTGGTGCTGGCCACACCCACCCCCTCGCGCGTGGTTCCGGCCACAACCACCCCCTCGTGCGTGGTGCTGGCCACACCCACCCCCTCGTGCGTGGTGCTGGCCACACCCACCCCCTCGCGCGTGGTGCTGGCCACACCCACCCCCTCGCGCGTGGTTCCGGCCACAACCACCCCCTCGTGCGTGGTGCTGGCCACACCCACCCCCTCGTGCGTAGTGCTGGCCACACCCACCCCCTCGCGCGTGGTGCTGGCCACACCCACCCTCTCGCGCGTGGTGGCGGCCACAACCACCCCCTCGTGTGCCGCCGCGGCCTTAATCACAGTGGGAATAATCTGAGTCAGAATTTGTGTTTCTCCTGCAGGAAGAATCCCGTGAGCTATAAAGCTCTTTTTCACAGACGTCCAGGAGGGACAGTTCAGAACGTTACAACAACAAACAGTGCAAAAAAACACGATAGGAGTGCAAAGTATGGGAGAGGTAAACTTATCACTTGACAAAATAAAACTAAGCAATTTCTTTTATGTTATCAGACAAGGCCCACTGAGCTGTGTATCTCTTTCTCAGAAGCGACCTGGCTACGATTGGTAGCTCAATGAAGCGGCTTGTCACGTGGTAATGTCACGTGGTAATGTACAAATAATCTAACAGGTGCATGCTAACAGCACTTGCTCCAACACCATAGTGAAGGCTACACGGTGCGGAGGTGGTATCTTTGTCTCTCTGTGCGTGCGTGTGTATGCGTGTGTATGTTTGGGGAGCGATAGTGTAGCGGTAAGCGCGCTGCGCTATGAACCCGGCGACACGGGTTCGATTCCCGCTCACGGCCAACACCTCCCCTAGGTCGACTCAGCCTCAAATGAGTACCTGGTGCGGTGTGTAGTAAACATCGCCACTAGGGAGACAAAGGCGGTCGGGCGTGGTGCTGGCCACCCACCCCCTCGTGTACCGTTCCGGCCTTCATAGCTGCTCGCTAACAGCGCTTGCCCCTACAGCCTGTTAAGGCTACACGGGGGATCTTTGTCTTTAATCCTTGTGCGTGCGCACGTCAGGCGTGTGTTTGTCGGAGAGGTGTGTGCGCGTGGCCGCCGGCGTCCTCGCCTCCATGGACCGCACCGTCGAGCCGTGCCAGGACTTCTACGGCTTCGCGTGCGGCAGGTGGGAGCGCCTCAACCCCCTCCCCGACGGCCACTCGCGCTGGACCACCTTCAGCTCCGTGTGGAGGCAGAACCAGGCGACGCTCAAGCACCTCCTCGGTACCCACGTCCGCCCGCTCGCTCGGTCGTTCACTCGCCCATTTTTCGCTCGATCGTCCGTAGAACTGAACCACCGTGGGTGGTTCAGTTCTACGCTCGCTCCGTTGAGTCGACCGTTCTTTCGGTCATTGACGCTTGCGCCACGGGTTGCGTCGCCGGGGGCGATCAAGGGGAACGCTTCTCGCAGCCGGGGGCCGGGAGGAACGAGCGCGGCGTTCGTGACGTGTTCAGCGGTGTGGCGCTCGCGGGATTATTTGAATAAGGGTGACGCCAGGTGGGGTTCTACGCGATTATAATCCCCGCGGGCACAACCTGCTCCGCGTGATTACAGCCGCGACACTCTCCTGCCGAGTTATTTCCTGAACTTCCAACTTGACTTGACTTTTGGCCCCCTACCTTCTGGGATTCCGGTCGCCCTCCCGCATCCACCTGGGTAGTCGAATCGAACGCGACTGCGACCAGCCCGCGGCTCGTGCTGCAGGCCCAGGCCGCCGCCAGCGCTGCCACTCGCTGAAGGCGCTCCAGCCGGGCCGCTCCGTGTTTGCCCGGCTAGCGGGCAAAACCGCGAACGTGGCGACCCTGCCAACGGCGCCGGCGCCTCGTTGCCTCGCCCGCTCGGTGACTGCGGTACCGAGAGGAGGATGGATGGGAAGGGGGTAGTGGGTGGGGGGGGTGGGCGGTGGTGGGGGGAGGGGCTGGGTGCGGACGCTTGTGGGTTCAAGGTTTCGGCTGTACCGCGCCCCTGCGGCCGCAGGAATGCGCTGCGCGAGACTCCTTAGCGCGGTTGGCAGTGGCGCGGCGCTTGCGCTGCTCCATGCGAGGGAGCATCTGGCGTCGTGGCTCGTCGAGTGTGCAGGCGGTGCAGCTGCACCCGGGGCCCACGAGGCCGCAGAGAACCAGGCGCCGGGGCTGCGACGAGCGGGGGGATTGAACCGGATGATTTCTTGCACCAGGGCCCACCGTGCCACCCATGCCACACCACTGACAGTCGTGCAACATCGTAATCAAATCGCCCAGGGGCGGGCACCAGCAATGTGGAGTAACTGCTCCTTTAGCGGCGAGTAATCGTGTTGCCGTTACCAAGCGTGACCGATTCAGCACGGTACATTCCTGTGGCTTTTGTCGAGGTTATTTTTGTTCGTCGTGTAACGTGTGACGTTTTAAAATCGGTGGAAACGTGGGGAAACGAGAGGACGGAAGCAGCAAGTGAACAAAAATCACTACCCGGCGATTAAACTAATATAGTAATTATATTACACGTGCTCTCCCCGGCATAACGTAAGCCGATTTAGCAGATCTTAAATGAAGATTCACGCTTTTTTTAACTTATATTTTGTAATTAAAGATTGTCTAACGATAGGTAGAAGATGGTTAGACGATATAGATAGAAGATATAGATGGATTATAAAAAAATATATAAAGATGATATAAAATAAAAAGATCGATAAAAGGTAAGATCAAATTTCACTTTTAAATCAACACGCCACGGATATTGCCTCCATATAGTGTCTTTCGTAAAAATGAAATCTGAAAAGATTCAAACCCTTGACAATTCCACCGAAGGAGGCTACTCGACCGCTGTTCAGCTAAAAGTTCACGATTCACAAAATATATCGTGGGTATTTCCTCCATCGCGTCTCGTCTTCGGAGACGAAGCAGACGATCCAGGAACCGGACGCCAGCTGAGTCGTTGCAGACATCATGAGCCATTTATATACAGACTAGCTGTACGACCCGGCTTCGCCCGGGACTTGGATCCACCACGCCCGGCCGCCTTTGTCTCCCCAGTGGCGATGTTCACACACCACAGCAGTTACTCGTTTGAGGCTGAGTCGACCTAGGGGAGGCCCAGAAGCGGTTGAAATAATCGTCACCGGTGGTGGCCGTGAGCGGGAATCAAACTCGGGTTGCCGGGTTCGTAGCGCGGCGTAGCGCTAACCGTTACACTACAATGCGTTACGCTTCCACATGCGCGGGTCACGTGACAGATTTGACGTCACAACTCGCTTTCCGTGCAAAAAATAAATGCATTATTGAGCTCCCCCCCCCCCCCCCCAAAAAGTGTATTTTTATCATTTTTGCATGGTGTACAGTCTGAAAAGTACCCACATGGCAAATGTCAAGTTTGTTGCATGTGGGTAATGTGAGAGATTAGCATGATGTTAATGTGAAATCTAAGAGTGGTGCAATCCAAAGGCATGAGTGCAGCCCAATGGGTGAAATTCAAAGGGAATGTGAGTATGAGAGTGCAATCCAAAGGCATGAGAGTCCAATGCAAACATGTGAGCATGAGAGATCTAAGAGAGAGGCATAGAGAGTCGGAAATAACAGCTGACATAGGCAGGTAGCATGGAAACATCACAGTCAGTTAAGACTCTACCTAGTTCATAACGTCCTTCCAATGATTGCTCAGTTTGTACCCATCTTCTCGGTTGAAGTTGTGCCTGTGTTTGTATATCTGGATGGCTTCATGAACAAATCTCTGAAGGTAGCCGGTAGGTTTGCAGAGTTCCTCCGTCTTGGAAAAATCAATTTCGTGTGAGCCCACAACGTTAAAACAACGATGCAGTTGCACATTCAAGGTGGTCAAGCCCAGATAACCGCGTCTGGAGTAGCGGCAGAGTGTAATCGCCGTGATGTCTCCGTCGTATTTTTGGATTGTGGAACAATAAATGGTGTAACAAGAGATAGAAACATTTTTTTTTTTACTGTCGTTCTGGCCACATCATCACCTCGTGTGTCGTGCCATCCTTAACCCTTCCCCGTTCCGAGACGCCCGCAAGCTGCAGCGTGGTCGGTGTCCCGTTCACCGCTGAATCTCGGAATGCGCAAGCGGCTCGGCGTAAATTTTAATGATGGAGGCCTAGTAGCGCCGCTGGATTTAAAGACGTTGTGCTCACCGCAGATAATCGCAGCGACACGACCGCTCTCTACGATAGCTGGCACCAAACTGTGCCACGCGCCCTCCCGCGTGGACGATCGCTAGCAGCGTTGGCCTCCACAGCAAAATAGCTTAGGTTGGGGATCTCTGCTTTGGTTCCAGTGTGTGTGTGTGTGTGTCATTGCATGATCTTGTGTGCATGTGTGTGCCTCTGCATGCCTGCCTAGGTGCATGCTGGTGCCTACTTGCGTGTGCTTTTGTGAGCGTTTGTGGGCGTTTGTGTGTGCACGCCGGTAGTGTAGTGGTCCGCGCATTGCGCTACCAACCTGGCGACCCGCGTACGATTCACGCTCCCGGACAATAATGGGGGAACGGATATTTTAATCCGGTCCCTGGCCTCCCCGAGGTCGACTCGCCCTTAAATGAGTACCTGGCGCGGTGTCTATTTAGCATTGGCACTGGGCGTGGCGTTGGCAATGTTTAGAACGGTTTCGACGGTGGTCGCGCGGTGCTGTTTTGGAAACGTAATAATAATTTGCTTCCTGACTTTGGGAGCCAAAGGAAAAAAGTTATGAAAGCATCAATGACGGATGCGCTCCCTCGTTTTGCGGCGTTCGCCGGCAGCGCAAGATTTCCACCAAACCAGTTTTGGCGCGAGACAGAATTTCGGTTTGGAAGGAACGGACAAAACATCAGTAACGAGAAAAGGTCACAATTTAGCCACTGAGCTTTGTAAGTCTTTTCAGATGCGCCCTGGCCACAAATGATAGCTCAACAAAGTGGCTTATCGCGTGGAAATTTATAGCAGCCGAATAATCTAAACGCACGTTGATTCTAAATGTGGAGGGAAGAATCGGGGGGACCCAGAGAACATGGATGCAACCATATACAGGCGGTAGTGTTGGGATCAAACCCACAACCTTCTATATACCAGGCGAGGTAGTAAACAACTCGCCACCGTGGCACCCATTTGTTCTTTATACAAGGTCCACAAATGGCTTGTCGGTTAATTAATGAATCAACTGGTTATTGGCCCATTTATTTACTGAATAAATAATAATTATGCGTAATAATATCCACTTGTGGCATGCAGAGTATCTGCAGAGAGAGAGGGTGACTCGTGTGTTGTAAGTTGTTGAACTAATCGGAGGTGCGGGGGAACGATAATAAAACTAAACACAAAAAAACTGTTCTAAAGAAATTAGTTTTCAATCTACATTTAAAAGTGCATAGCTCTAGTGGCTTCCGAAGATCAGAAGAAAGAGCGTTCTAGACGGCCGTCTGGAACGTGCAATGCAGTCACTCAGAGGTGTGAGCAATCGCAGACAAGCAGAAAGGCAACCAGACGGTGAAATGGTGCCAACAATTACCCAAGCTTTGTGGTCTGCTATATACGAAGGTGTTATTGGCCGAAAAAATGAAAGTTTTTAGATGTCGGAGGAAACGGTAGCACCCAGAGAAAACCCACGCATCCGAGTGGAGAAACACTTTATCCCATATGGACAGAACAGGTCCAGTCAACATTTTTTGCTGTACCACTATGACCCACTCGGTGCATCCACATTGCTGGATCACAGGCCGCGCGCATCGCCACCTCTGCGACATTCTGTGCGTGTACACGGCCTGCAGTGATATTGAGAGTTTTTGGAGGGGGGGGGGGGGTGTGGAGGAGGGAGTGCTGATGTCTAGTCGGAACAATATCGTCACGACGCAGAGTCGTCACATGTACAGTGAGCCTGCGCACTTTGCACTTCGCACAGTGGCTGTGTCGAACGGAGATCGCTCTCCCCGCTTGGTCGAGAGAGATTCTAGTCAGGGTGAGAAGCCCCGCTGGATGGCAGACAATGCCTCTTTCCCCCGCTTTGTGGTTTTATCTCAAATTCAAGATAGCGCCGAGTCCGCTCGGGCGAGGGAACGGCCGCCGCTTTGCGTGGGAGACGGCACCGCGTGGCGTCGAGCCGTGCTGCACGTTGTCGCGCTGGCATGGCTCTCTCCCCGCGGCACGCGTCCTTTGGCACGACTTTCGACGTTTCCCTTCCGCACGCTGGGAGCTTCTCCAGGAGCGTCGGAGCGACGCAAGGCACAACTCGAAAAAGCGTCGGAGAGCTATGCAGTACGAACCTACGTATAAGTACCGTATGGCCGCTTGCAGCGCGAAGCGTTTTGTGTAGATACAAGTCCCTGGGTTTCAAATCCAGGTGACAGCTGCCGGTGATTAAACCCGGTTCTCGTGTGATGCGAGTTGATGGTCTCAGCCCTGTCACCAATGGGTGCGCTACAAATTCTCACATCAAAATTGGTTCTTCATTTAATTTGGATAAATTCCAGCTCTGTAAAATACCAGTTTGACTTATATAGTGAACGTGACTGTCAGTGCCAGGGTCGGTGGGAACGCAGTGCCCTTATTAGAATGATTTAGGCTGAAGGAATCCGATGAGACGGTCCAGTAGTACTGTGGGTACCAGCAGCTACTCGAAGAAGGGATCTTTAGAGTTAGCTCTGTGTTATCCGCTTCTGCGGGATGTTCTCTGACTACAAAGGGTTGCACTGCACCTGTGAGAAACACGAACAAATTATTTTCCATCTCGTGACGCCAACGTGCGCAATCGCGGTGGAATTGGGGGGGGGGAGGGGAAAGTCGTCCACAAAATCCTTGAACCCGCAGCGCCACTCGGCCTGTCTTGACATCGGCACACCGAGGAACCCGAATCCGGTGGAGCTTTGAGAGCGACGGAAGATCGAGACGATGGTTGATGAGCCCACCACGACGCGTTTGTTTGGACTCGATCTCTGGCCGTGCTGCGAGCCAGGGCTGGAGGAGGGGGTCTGGGGGGAGGTGGAAGGTGGTGCAGCAAACTTCAGAGAAAAAATAAGTAATATTAAAAAAAACTTTTTTTTTAAACACACTTTCATGAAATGTACCGTACTAGTAATGGCAGAACTCCACGACTCCAAGAAGTGGCCCCGAAGTTTGCCACAACGTAAGGGGACCGTGGCCAATTACAGCCAACGTCAGTTGAGCGTGTACAATTAGACCCAAGCCGAAACATAACATTTAAAAAATAATGTTACATTTTTTTATATATTTTATATTTTATGATATAATATGGTATTGTCATCAGTATGACATAAGTATACCAAGTTTGCAGTCGAGACCACATTGGGAAGTGGGTTAAATTTGAGTTACAAAATTTGAGGATACAACAACAACGACAACAACAACAACAGACAGAGCGAGTTAAAAGAAAGTGTGTAATAAAAACGCAGAACTCACCGGAGGCCCAGTGGCGCTACGTGCCGCGGGCAGAGGGGCTGCGGGATTGGAGAGGGGGGCGATCGTTTGTTTGGCTTCGTCAGTAACGGCTCTGGGTAGAGATCAAAGGAGCGGGCCCTGCTTGGAGAGGCCGTCTAGTGTCACCTTGTTTGTAAAAATATGGCATTCCTGAGATGCCCTTGGGCTTGCATGTGTTACGTACGTGTTTTGAACTTCGTTCGCGCCGTACGTACGTAGACGACCGAGCTAATTGGAGGTGCGGGGGATGGACGACAAACTAAACACAAATAGGCAGTTCTAAAGAAATGAGTTTTCAATATAGACTTAAAAGTGCATAGCTCCAGTGCTTATTTAAATAAACATAACCCCCCCCCCCCACACACACAAACCCTAGATTGTGTTTGCTATCTGGCCCACGCGGTGCCTGGAGCTTTATTGGATATAACGGAGCCTTACTGAAAGCACAATCCTAGTCTGCCGGGCGAAGCCGCGTAGGCAGTAGGGGATGTAGAATGAAAATCGTGAAGCAAAAAGAACGAAATCTGTGAAGATGGACCCATTCCTCAAAATGTCACCTCATGAATGCATTTTCCTCTTTAGGGTGGCATTGTTGATGAATGTGGTGCCTTGTTGACGTTGTAGGCCTCAGTGTTATGGATGAATGTGGTGCCTTGTTGGCGTTGTAGGCCTCAGTGTTATGGATGAATGTGGTGCATTGTTGACGTTGTAGGCCCACAGTGTTATGGATGAATGTGGTGCATTGTTGACGTTGTAGGCCTCTGTTATGGATGAATGTGGTGTGTTGTTGACGTTGTAGGCCTCAGTGTTATGGATGAATGTGGTGCGTTGTTGGCGTTGTAGGCCTCAGTGTTATGGATGAATGTGGTGCGTTGTTGACGTTGTAGGCCTCAGTGTTATGGATGAATGTGGTGCCTTATTGACGTTGTAGGCCCACAGTGTTATAGATGAATGTGGTGCGTTGTTGACGTTGTAGGCCCACAGTGTTATGGATGAATGTGGTGCGATTTTGACGTATTGTACATGGGCAGGGATCACACTGCTGTGCCTTTTGTAAAACTCACTCCTCTTCTGCAGATGACACATGTACGCAGTATGTGCATGTGTACGTGAAGCCGCACGTACAGGCGGCACGTGCAGCGTTGGGGAGCAGCGCACTGCCAGCAACACAAATCGCGATTCCCTGTTGCGGGCAGCGGTAATGTTAAACTTTGAAGCGTTTAACAGGCACAGCTTGCGAGTCTCCGCTCCGTCGCTGCTACCGCAGCTGCTGCTGCTTCACTGCCACAACTTTCCGCGCGACAGCTACTTCGTTGAGCTATCATTTGTGGCAAGGTCGCTTCCGAAAAAATAAGCTAATAGCTCGGTGGGATTTAGCTGGTAAAATAAATAGAAATATATTTTTAGTGATTTTCTTACCCCTCCTATACTCCGGTCCTTATTTTTTTTCTTGTTCGTTATAAATTTTTGACTCCGTGCCCCCCGAATGGACGTCCGTGCAAAAGGGCTTCATAGCTCATCGGATTCCTCCTCCAGTGTAAATAAACATTTTGATTCTGAGTGTCGTCCGTACCGACTGGAAACGGCACAGTGGGGGGGGGGGGGGGTGCTGTTGGGGGTGGGGGCAGGCTGGCGTCTGTCCTCGCACCATTGTGGAGCGTCGCTTCCTCTGCAGGAAGTGGGGGGCGACCACAACAGGAAAGCGTCCGGACATTGATTATCGCCCATTGAAAACGTAGACCGTATATTATGTATATTTGTTTAAACGAATCTGGCGAATGTAAGTTTGGTTGGGTGTAGTTGGGGCACGCCTGGAATCATCAGTGCTCTGGATGTGGGAGGGCCTGGTGTTGAGGGACCGTCCAGCACCGCTGGGTGGCGAGGTGGCGGTCGAGAGATGCCGCTACGGCAGGTAGGCGTGTGGTCGCTCGAGCATCGAGCCGTGGTCTCCGCGCATTGCGTGGGTTTTCACTGGGCATTTAACTTTTTTTAAACGGCTCGTCTAGGAAGGGTGCTGCGCCATGTGGCAGTGATGTTTCCTCGAAGGTTTAGAGTTTGTGCGCGTGGGTCTGTATTTGTGTGTCTATGCATTGCACTCTTTGGTGTTTTTGTCTGTGTAACGGTTAGCGCGCTGCGCTATGATGGCAACGTTGGCAACGTTGGCGGTGCGTCATTGATGGTGGTGATGTAGTTGATGGTGGTGATGTAGTTGATGGTGGTGATGTAGTTGATGGTGGTGATGTAGTTGATGGTGGTGATGTAGTTGATGGTGGTGATGTAGTTGATGGTGGTGATGTAGTTGATGGTGGTGATGGTATTCTGGATGATGACGGTGGTGGTCGTGGTCGTTGAACAGAGCTGCCGGAGGATGCTGCGGGCCGGGAGCTGGGCGACGCGCAGGGGAAAGCGCGGCGCTACTTCCGCTCGTGCATGGACGAGCAAAGCATCGAGCAGCGGGGAGCCGCGCCACTGCAGCAGCTGCTGACACAGGTGACACGAGGGGCAGGGGCATGCGGGGCAGGGGCACGCGGGGCAGGGGCACGCGGGGCAGGGGCATGCGGGGCAGGGGCATGCGCATCCACAGTGGTGACCGGTGGCACAGTGTTTTGTGCATGGTGTTACGATCCTGCCAACCCAAGTTCGATTCTCGCTCGGCCAGTATCACTTGATGAATAATTGATCTGGTCCTGGGCCTCCCCTAGGTCGACTCGGCCTCAAATTAGTACCTGGTGCCATGCGTGGACATTGCAACCGGGGAGACAAAGGCGGCTGGGTGTGGTACCAGGACGGCACATGAGGGGGTGTGTGGCCAGCCCTCGCCCCTGTTCGGGCTATACCGGGGGGATCCTTATCTCCGTGTTTGCAGCTGGGAGGCTGGAGCATGCTGGGCACGTGGAACGAGACCGGCCACTCGCTGCAGGACCTGCTGGAGGTCGTCATGGGCTCCTACCGCGCCTCTCCCTTCTTCGCCATCTACGTGGGGCAGGACGCGAAGCACTCCAACAGCAACGTCGTCCAGGTGGGCGCCGCCTCGCCCGCGCTGCCACTCGCGGGGAGGGGAGGGGTGGCAGAGGGGGCGGCGCCGCCGGCGGGGCATCCTGGCGGCAGCGCCCCTGCCGCTGGTCGTGGAGGTTCGCGGTTCAGGTCCGACGGGCCGCCCCGGTCACGGAGGATGGTGAACATCCCCCGACTGTCATTTCAAAGCGAGCAGGTCACCGTGTGCCGGCGACACGCTCCATATTGGCCAAGTCGAGCATCATCCCTGACTGATGAACTTGTGCGGTCTGCGTCTCTGCTACGCGGCATCTTCGTGATAGCCGTGCCACTGTAAACAGTGGCACGGATACCAAGCCGACAGCGTGATCAATGTTGCTGAGGAGTTGTCGATTGCAGCAAACCGAGAAATGCTTAAACACTGCCCAGTAAACGCGGAATTGTTGGAGCAACGTTGGAGCAACGTTGCGTGTTTCCTGAGGCATTTCTGCGACTTTATCACGAGCGACTCCGAACCATCGCGCGTTGTTTTCTCGCCTCTGTTTCAACAGATTGACCAGTCGGGTCTCGGATTGCCGTCACGTGACTATTACATCAACCTGACGGCCAATGAGAAGGTAGGAGTTTGTCCTTCATCTCGCGTTCCCTCTTGAAAGCGACACACGCATGCGATAAAACAGCTAAGAGGCAGATGGGATGTGTCAAAACAACTGTTCTTCTTTACGCGGAGAGACAGATATGTGAAGGAGGTGTGTGTGCTGTCTGCTCAAGTTTCACCTTTCTTCTCCGCGCATCCTCCGTCTCCTTCATCACTCCGTATCCACTCAGTCCCCTCCCGGTGTCGGTGTTCTGCAGGGGTCGGTCCTCTGGGCCCCTGATTTCTCTCTCTCTCGAGATATTTCGCCTCTTGAATCCATTCCCCCCCTTCCTCACTCTACTTTCCTCATCGTTTCCCTGCAGACGACACCCAAGTAGTATGTTCCTCCTTGCCCTCGTTAATCCCCCGTGACATTTCCTCTCGTATCTCCTCCTGCCTGGCTACCGTCCAATCCTGGATGGCGTTTCACTTTCTCTCTCAAACGTTTTGAGTGCTGGTGGCTGTAGGTTCTCTGTGCCGTGTGGAGCTGGTGGCTGTAGGTTCTCTGTGCCGTGTGGAGCTGGTGGCTGTAGGTTCCCTGTGCTGTGTGGCGCTGTTGGCTGTAGGTTCCCTGTGCCGCGTGGTGCCGGTGGCTGTAGGTTACCTGTGCCATGTGGAGCCGGTGGCTGTAGGTTCTCTGTGCCGTGTGTTGCCGGTGGCTGTAGGTTACCTGTGCCGTGTGGTGCCGGTGGCTGTAGGTTCCCTGTGCCGTGTGTTGCCGGTGGCTGTAGGTGTTGGCGGCCTACGAGGGCTACATGGTGCGCGTGGCCGTGCTGCTGGGGGCGGAGGAGGCGGCGGCCAGTGACGCGGCTCGCTCCGTGCTGCGCCTGGAGGAGGAGCTGGCGCTCATCACGGTGCCCATGGAGGAGCGGCGCGACGACGAGAAGATCTACCACCGCATGGCGCTCACCGAGCTGCAGGTGGGAAGTCGGCACGACCCGCCCCCCACCCCTTCCATCCCCCCGCCCCCCACCCCTTCCATCCCCCCGCCCCTTCCATCCCTCCGCCCCCCGCGCCGCCGATTCGGCCCCCCGCGGGATTTCCTGCGTGCGGCACGTTGCGGTGCGTGTGTCGTGTGTAACATGTCGTGTGTGTGTCGTGTGTAACATGTCGTGTGTAACATGTCGTGTGTAACATGTCGTGTGTGTGTGTGTGGCGTGTGTGTGTGTCGTGTGTGTGTGTGGCGTGTGTAACATGTCGTGTGTGTGTGGCGTGTGTAACATGTCGTGTGTGTGTGTGTGTGTCGTGTGTGACATGTCGTGTGTGTGTGTGTGTCGTGTGTAACATGTCGTGTGTGTGTGTGGCATGTGACGTGTAGTGTTTGCGGTCTTCCCAGCAACAGTTATGCCCTCCCTTAACTGGGCTTGCGAACCCTGGCCCCCTCTGAAGGAGCATCTGGGCTGATTAGAACACATTCAGGCTGGCCTGGCTGTGATCCATCCCGGAGTTTTACCATATTGGATGGTGTGAGGTCACAGATCCTGGAAAGATCTGGGTACAGGCCCATCTGTGTGAGTCATGTAGGCCACATGCCCAGCCACTAAAACACAGCAAGTTGGCACAGTAGGGGGCAAAAGTGGTGCATCTACCGGTCATCGCATTCACCCGAGCCTGTTCCGTGACCTTTCAGCGAGCCTTCCACATTTCACTTGGCTTCGAGGTGCACCTAGCTTGGCACAAGCAATAAGTGGCGGATGGCGGCTGTTGCCATCGTTGTTGCCTCCGTGTTGTTGTACGTCTTGCGTGTCACATGTTGTAGGTGACCGTTGAATTGTAACACAATGTAATGAACTACGTCTAACGTGTTGTGCGAGACGTATGCATTGCAGTGCGATAGCACACGTGTTGTGCGCGATGCGTGGGGTCTATGCAGTGTGTGCATTGTGTGTAATCTGTTGTGTGTAATGCAGCGTGCTGCTCGCAACGCGCCTCATGTGACGCGCCTACGTGCGCCGCGCTGCGCGTGACGCGCGTACAGCGCCGCGTGCAAGTCGCGTCACGTGACGCTCCGCGTGCAAGTCGCGTCACGTGACGCTCCGCGTGCAAGTCGCGTCACGTGACGCTCCGTGTGCAAGTCGCGTCACGTAACGCTCCACGTGCAAGTCGCGTCACGTGACGCTCCGTGTGCAAGTCGCGTCACGTGACGCTCCGCGTGCAAGTCGCGTCACGTAACGCTCCGCGTGCAAGTCGCGTCACGTAACGCTCCGCGTGCAAGTCGCGTCACGTGACGCTCCGCGTGCAAGTCGCGTCACGTGACGCTCCGCGTGCAAGTCGCGTCACGTGACGCTCCGCGCGCAAGTCGCGTCACGTGACGCTCCGCGTGCAAGTCGCGTCACGTGACGCTCCGCGCTCTAGTCGCGTCACATGACGCTCCGCGTGCAAGTCGCGTCACGTGACGCTCCGCGTGCAAGTCGCGTCACGTGACGCTCCGTGTGCAAGTCGCGTCACGTGACGCTCCGCGTGCAAGTCGCGTCACGTGACGCTCCGCGTGCAAGTCGCGTCACGTGACGCTCCGCGTGCAAGTCGCGTCACGTGACGCTCCGCGTGCAAGTCGCGTCACGTAACGCTCCGCGTGCAAGTCGCGTCACGTAACGCTCCGCGTGCAAGTCGCGTCACGTACCGCTCCGCGTGCAAGTCGCGTCACGTGACGCTCCGCGTGCAAGTCGCGTCACGTGACGCTCCGCGTGCAAGTCGCGTCACGTGACGCTCCGCGTGCAAGTCGCGTCACGTACCGCTCCGCGTGCAAGTCGCGTCACGTGACGCTCCGCGTGCAAGTCGCGTCACGTGACGCTCCGCGTGCAAGTCGCGTCACGTACCGCTCCGCGTGCAAGTCGCGTCACGTGACGCTCCGTGTGCAAGTCGCGTCACGTACCGCTCCGCGTGCAAGTCGCGTCACGTGACGCTCCGCGTGCAAGTCGTGTCACGTGACGCTCCGCGTGCGTGGCGCCGCAGGAGCTGGCGCCGACGCTGCGCTGGGACCGCCTCGTTGGCCGCGTGCTGGAGCCCGTGGCGCTGGCGGAGGCGGAGCCGCTCGTCGTGTACGCGCCCACGTACCTGCGGAACGCCGCGGCGCTCATCAACCGCACCGACACCAGGTGACGACGACGACGACGACGAGCCGGTCAGGGTGGAGTCTGATTCCAAGTCAAAAGCCAAAGCGTACCGTTGCTCACGCGAGCAGCGGGCCGGTGCTCAACTTCTGGCGATGGCCCGGCGCCAGCGGTGGAAATTCCACATTCCCGTGGTGGGAGCCAGTCTCTCCGATGGTCCGATGGACGTCCTGCAAAGTGGCATTTATTTTTATCGATTCCCCGTGGATGATGGGCTGAGAAGGATACCGACCCCAGAGGATTGTTTGTGTCGGCCATCTTAGCAGCGGTGTCCTTGTTCCATTAAGTCGGCGTGTAGGGACGTTACCCTTGCGGAGGGCCGTCACAGGGGACTTTTGTCTCCCCTCGTAGCGATGTTTAAACACCGCACCAGGTACTCGTTTGAGGCCGAGTCGACCAAGGAGAGGCCGAGTACCGGTTCAGATTATCATCACTGGCGTTGGTGGCCGTGAGCGGGAATCGAACTCGGGCTGCCGGGTTCGTCGGGCAGTGCGCTAACCGCCGCACTACCACTCCCCGCTCACTCGCTCGGTCTCTCGCCGCACCAGGCCCTGGCAGGAACAGAAGCAGAAGTGACTGAGCGAGCTAAAACGGTACAAATCGCGTTGCCAGATGAAATGCGTTTCCCCTCCAGTACCCGATCAGTGCGACCTAAGATGACCGCGGTGACTGATAGATATGATTAGGGGGCCGTTGTGCAGTGGGCAGGCTTCGCGTGAGCACGGGCCGTGTGAAGTGGAGTTCACTGCTGCCCCTCTCTCACTCTTCCCCGTGCTGGCTGAGCTCCGCTTGTCTTCACTTGTCCTGTGTGCATCCACGTGCCTCTGTTTGTCTCCACGCGTCTCAATGTGTCTCCACGTCTCGGTGTGCTCAAAGCGTGTCCCAGTATGCCCGCCACATGTTTTCTCAATGTGTCTACGCGTGTCTCTGTGTCTTTGTGTGTCCCTGAGCATCTCAATGTGTCTCCGCGTGTCTCTGTGTCTTTGTGTGTCCCTGAGCATCTCAATGTGTCTCCGCGTGTCTCTGTGTCTTTGTGTGTCCCTGAGCATCTCAATGTGTTTCCGCGTGTCTCTGTGTCTTTGTGTGTCCCTGAGCATCTCAATGTGTCTCCGCGTGTCTCTGTGTCTTTGCGTGTCCCTGAGCATCTCAATGTGTCTCCGCGTGTCTCTGTGTCTTTGTGTGTCCCTGAGCATCTCAATGTGTCTCCGCGTGTCTCTGTGGCTTTGTGTGTCCCTGAGCATCTCAATGTGTCTCCGCGTGTCTCTGTGGCTTTGTGTGTCCCTGAGCATCTCAATGTGTCTCCGCGTGTCTCTGTGGCTTTGTGTGTCCCTGAGCATCTCAATGTGTCTCCGCGTGTCTCTGTGTCTTTGCGTGTCCCTGAGCATCTCAATGTGTCTCCGCGTGTCTCTGTGTCTTTGCGTGTCCCTGAGCATCTCAATGTGTCTCCGCGTGTCTCTGTGTCTTTGTGTGTCCCTGAGCATCTCAATGTGTCTCCGCGTGTCTCTGTGGCTTTGTGTGTCCCTGAGCATCTCAATGTGTCTCCGCGTGTCTCTGTGGCTTTGTGTGTCCCTGAGCATCTCAATGTGTCTCCGCGTGTCTCTGTGGCTTTGTGTGTCCCTGAGCATCTCAATGTGTCTCCGCGTGTCTCTGTCTTTGCGTGTCCCTGAGCATCTCAATGTGTCTCCGCGTGTCTCTGTGTCTTTGTGTGTCCCTGAGCATCTCAATGTGTCTCCGCGTGTCTCTGTGTCTTTGTGTGTCCCTGAGCATCTCAATGTGTCTCCGCGTGTCTCTGTGTCTCGGCGTGTCGTCTCAATGTATTTCTGCGCGTCTCTCACTGTGTCTTTGTGTGTCTCATTGTGTCTCCGTGTGTCTCATTGTGTCTCTGTGTGTCATCTCGTTGTGTCTGTGTTGTCTCATTGTGTCTCTGTGTGTCGTCTCGTTGTGTCTCTGTGTGTCGTCTCGTTGTGTCTCTGTGTGTCGTCTCGTTGTGTCTCTGTGTGTGTCATCTCATTGTGTCTGTGTTGTCTCATTGTGTCTCTGAGTCGTCTCATTGTGTCTCTGTGTGTTGTCTCATTGTGTCTCTGTCGTCTCATTGTATCTCTGTGTCGTCTCATTGTGTCTCTGTGTGTTGTCTCATTGTGTCTCTGTGTCGTCTCATTGTGTCTCTGTCGTCTCATTGTATCTCTGTGTCGTCTCATTGTGTCCCTGTGTCGTCTCATTGTGTCTCTGTGTGTCGTCTCGTTGTGTCTCTGTGTGTCGTCTCGTTGTGTCTCTGTGTGTCGTCTCGTTGTGTCTCTGTGTGTGTCATCTCATTGTGTCTGTGTGTCGTCTCATTGTGTCTGTGTGTCATCTCATTGTGTCTCTGTGTTGTCTCATTGTGTCTCTGTGTGTCGTCTCATTGTGTCTCTGTGTGTTGTCTCATTGTGTCTCTGTGTCTCATTGTGTCTCTGTGTCGTCTCATTGTGTCTCTGTGTGTCGTCTCATTGTGTCTCTGTGTGTCGTCTCATTGTGTCTCTGTGTGTCGTCTCATTGTGTCTCTGTGTATCATCTCATTGTGTCTGTGTCTCGTCTCATTGTGTCTGTGCGTCGTCTCATCGTGTCTCTGCGTGTCTCTGCATGTCTCAGCGTGCTCAACGCGTACGTGCTGTGGAGCCTCGTGAGCAAGCTCACGCTCAGCCTCGGCCGCTCCTTCCGCCAGGCGAGGGAGGAGCTCTTGGAGGCCCTGCTCGGAGCGAAGGTAACGAGCGCCGGGAGCCGCCTGCAGGTTCACACGGAGCGGACGGGGTCCCCGGGACGACTGGAGCTGTGCGACGTTTCCTGTGCCCGTTGCACTTTGCGCTGCTGTCGGTTTTCGCGGTTGTGCACTGTAGACTCCCAGCAGTGTAGACTCCCAGCAGTGTAACTCCCAGCAGTGTAGACTCCCAGCAGTGTAGACTGTCAGCAGTGTAGACTGTCAGCAGTGTAGACTCTCATCAGTGTAGACTCTCAGCAGTGTAACTCCCAGCAGTGTAGACTATCATCAGTGTAGACTCCCAGCAGTGTAAACTGTCAGCAGTGTAGACTCTCAGCAGTGTAGACTCTCAGCAGTGTAGACTCTCAGCAGTGTAGACTCTCAGCAGTGTAGACTCCCAGCAGTGTAGGCACTCATCAGTGTAGACTCCCAGCAGTGTAGACTCCCAGCAGTGTAGACTCTCAGCAGTGTAGACTCTCAGCAGTGTAGACTCCAAGCAGTGTAGACTCTCAGCAGTGTAGACTCTCAGCAGTGTAGACTCAGCAGTGTAGACACTCAGTGTAGACTCCCAGCAGTATAGACTCCCAGCAGTGTAGACTCTCAGCAGTGTAGACTCTCAGCAGTGTAGACTCTCAGCAGTGTAGACTCTCAGCAGTGTAGACTCCCAGCAGTGTAGACACTCATAAGTGTAGACTCCCAGCAGTGTAGACTCCCAGCAGTGTAGACTCTCATCAGTGTAGACTCTCAGCAGTGTAGACACTCAACAGTGTAGACTCTCAGCAGTGTAGACTCTCAGCACTGTAGACTCCCAGCAGTGTAGACTCTCAGCAGTGTAAACTCTCAGCAGTGTAGACACTCAACAGTGTAGACTCTCAGCAGTGTAGACTCTCAGCACTGTAGACTCCCAGCAGTGTAGACTCTCAGCAGTGTAGACTCTCAGCAGTGTAGACTCCCAGCAGTGTAGACTCCCAGCAGTGTAGACTCTCAGCAGTGTAGACACTCAACAGTGTAGACTCTCAGCAGTGTAGACTCTCAGCACTGTAGACTCCCAGCAGTGTAGACTCTCAGCAGTGTAGACTCTCAGCAGTGTAGACTCTCAGCACTGTAGACTCCCAGCAGTGTAAACTCTCAGCAGTGTAGACTCTCAGCAGTGTAGACTCTCAGCAGTGTAGACTCTCAGCAGTGTAGACTCTCAGCAGTGTAGACACTCAGTGTAGACTCTCGGCAGTGTAGACACTCGGCAGTGTAGACACCCGGCAGTGTAGACTCTCAGCAGTGTAGACTCTCAGCAGTGTAGACTCTCAGCAGTGTAGACTCTCAGCAGTGTAGACTCTCTGCAGTGTAGACTCTCAGCAGTGTAAACTCTCAGCAGTGTAGACTCTCATCAGTGTAGACTCTCAGCAGTGTAGACTCTCAGCAGTGTAGACTATCATCAGTGTAGACACTCATCAGTGTAGACTCCCAGCAGTGTAGACTCCCAGCAGTGTAGACACTCAGTAGTGTAGACTCTCATCAGTGTAGACTCTCAGCAGTGTAGACTCCCAGCAGTGTAGACTCTCATCAGTGTAGACTCTCAGCAGTGTAGACTCTCATCAGTGTAGACTCTCAGCAGTGTAGACTCTCATCAGTGTAGACTCTCAGCAGTGTAGACTCCCAGCAGTGTAGACTCTCAGCAGTGTAGACTCTCAGCAGTGTAGACTCTCAGCAGTGTATACTCTCAGCAGTGTAGACTCCCAGCAGTGTAGACTCTCAGCAGTGTAGACTCTCAGCAGTGTAGACTCTCAGTAGTGTAGACACCCAGTAGTGTAGACTCTCATCAGTGTAGACTCTCAGCAGTGTAGACTCCCAGCAGTGTAGACTCTCAGCAGTGTAGACTCTCAGCAGTGTAGACTCCCAGCAGTGTAGACTCCCAGCAGTGTAGACTCTCATCAGTGTAGACTTCCAGCAGTGTAGACTCTCAGCAGTGTAGACTCTCAGCAGTGTAGACTCTCAGCAGTGTAGACTCCCAGCAGTGTAGACTCTCAGCAGTGTAGACTCCCAGCAGTGTAGATTCCCAGCAGTGTAGACTCTCAGCAGTGTAGACTCTCAGCAGTGTAGACTCTCAGCAGTGTAGACTCCCAGCAGTGTAGACTCTCAGCAGTGTAGACTCTCAGCAGTGTAGACTCCCAGCAGTGTAGACTCTCAGCAGTGTAGACTCTCAGCAGTGTAGACTCTCAGCAGTGTAGACTCTCAGCAGTGTAGACACTCAACAGTGTAGACTCTCAGCAGTGTAGACTCTCAGCAGTGTAGACACTCAACAGTGTAGACTCTCAGCAGTGTAGACTCTCAGCAGTGTAGACTCTCAGCAGTGTAGACTCTCAGCAGTGTAGACTCTCAGCAGTGTAGACTCTCAGCAGTGTAGACTCTCAGCAGTGTAGACACTCAGTAGTGTAGACTCTCATCAGTGTAGACTCTCAGCAGTGTAGACTCTCAGCAGTGTAGACTCCCAGCAGTGTAGACTCTCAGCAGTGTAGACTCTCATCAGTGTAGACTCTCAGCAGTGTAGACTCTCATCAGTGTAGACTCTCAGCAGTGTAGACTCCCAGCAGTGTAGACTCTCAGCAGTGTAGACTCTCAGCAGTGTAGACTCTCAGCAGTGTATACTCTCAGCAGTGTAGACTCCCAGCAGTGTAGACTCTCAGCAGTGTAGACTCTCAGCAGTGTAGACTCTCAGTAGTGTAGACACCCAGTAGTGTAGACTCTCATCAGTGTAGACTCTCAGCAGTGTAGACTCCCAGCAGTGTAGACTCTCAGCAGTGTAGACTCTCAGCAGTGTAGACTCCCAGCAGTGTAGACTCCCAGCAGTGTAGACTCTCATCAGTGTAGACTTCCAGCAGTGTAGACTCTCAGCAGTGTAGACTCTCAGCAGTGTAGACTCTCAGCAGTGTAGACTCCCAGCAGTGTAGACTCTCAGCAGTGTAGACTCCCAGCAGTGTAGATTCCCAGCAGTGTAGACTCTCAGCAGTGTAGACTCTCAGCAGTGTAGACTCTCAGCAGTGTAGACTCCCAGCAGTGTAGACTCCCAGCAGTGTAGACTCTCAGCAGTGTAGACTCTCAGCAGTGTAGACTCTCAGCAGTGTAGACTCTCAGCAGTGTAGACACTCAACAGTGTAGACTCTCAGCAGTGTAGACTCTCAGCAGTGTAGACACTCAACAGTGTAGACTCTCAGCAGTGTAGACTCTCAGCAGTGTAGACTCTCAGCAGTGTAGACTCTCAGCAGTGTAGACTCTCAGCAGTGTAGACTCTCAGCAGTGTAGACTCTCAGCAGTGTAGACTCTCAGCAGTGCAGCGGCAGGCGTTTTGTGGACGTCGCGCCAAACAACGCACAGCACGACGGCCCGAGAACACAGCCTAGAGCGGTCGTCTCGATGCGTTCGTAAACGCAGCTGTGTGTGCAGCTGTGTGTGTCGCGTGCCACGCGTGTCGCATGTCGTGTGTCACGTGTCGCACGTGTCGTGTGTCACGTGTGTCGCGTGTTGCATGTGTCGGCGAGCAGGCGTCGTGCACCCCGCGCTGGCAGACGTGCGTGGAGGACACGGACAGCACGCTGGGCTTCGCGCTCGGAGCCATGTTCATCCACAGCTTCTTCGACAACTCCAGCAAGAGCAACGTAACGCAGGCCCCCCCCCCCCCCCCCCCAAACCATGACCTCCGTCTCCGGCCCCCTCCTCGTCGTCGGAAACATTGCACGCTCGCACACTCGCACGCTCGCACGCACGCACGCTCGCACGCTTGCAAGCACGCTCGCTCACACGCTCGCACACACGCTCGTTACCGTTAAAGAGCAATCGTCAACACGTCCGAATAACACGAATTGCATATTGTATACATTGAGCGTTACGCGTTGCTGGTGTTAAACGCACGACGCACGAATAGAACTCGTTTACCGTGTCTTTACGTATATGGGAGGGTGCTTCAAAAAAAATGTTACCAGTTTATAAGGGACTATCGGTGTTGTTGCAAATTCTCAGAAGTCTTAACATTTTTTTGAAGCACCCTGTATATGGGAATGTTTTAGTCCATCGGCCTATTGGGGAGGGGGACCAGCAGCTTTGCACGATGCGGGATCTTTCCGCATCGTTCGCACCGTACGTGACCAACGCTGCTAATCGGAGCCAACTGTGACAACCGTCCAAACATTGGACCCCCCCCCCCTTCACCGCCCCCCCCCCTCACCGCCCCCCCCCCCACCGCCCTCCCCCCGTCCGCCCCTCCCCAGGCCCAAGAGATGATCGCGCAGATCCGAGAGGCGTTCACGCACAACTTGGACTCGCTCCAGTGGATGGATCCGGAGACCAGAGTGGCCGCCAAGCAGAAGGTGAGTGAGGAGGGGGGGGGGCCTCTCTAGTGCCCACAGTGGGCAGGACCACGTTGCGTGTGAGTGCGAGCGTCCGTGCGCATGTGGGGGGAGCGGCGGCGCAGCGGTTAGCGCTACGCCGCGCTGCGAGCCCGGCGACCCGGGTTCGATTCCCGCTCACGGGCCAACACCGCTGACGATTATCTGAACCGGTCCTGGGCCCTCCCCTAGGTCGACTCTGCCTCAAATGAGCACCCGGTGCGATGTGTAAACGTCGCCACTGGGGAGACAAAGGCGGCCGGGCGTGGTGATGGCCACCCACCCCCTCGTGCGTCGTTCCGGCCTTCATAGGCGCTCGCTAACGGCACTTGCCCCTACAGTCTGTTAAGGCTATACGGGGGATCTTTGTCTCGTGTCCACTCCACGCCGGGTTCTTCTGCCGCCGCAGGCGAACGCGATCCACGACATGATCGGCTTCCCCGATTTCCTCAACAACCAGACGGAGCTGGACGGCGTCTACGCCGGGGTGAGTGGCGACTCCGCTCCGTTACGCTCCGTTACGCTCCGTTACAATCCGTTTTGCTCCGTTACGCTCCGTTACACTCCGTTACACTCCACTGTGCACCGCTCCGTCCCGTGCCCGGCTGACGGGCGGGGCGCTTCTTAACTCGAGGGGTGGGGGTCGAGGGTGGTGGGGGGGGTAGAGGAGGAGGGGGGGGTAGAGGAGGAGGGGGGGTAGAGGAGGGGGGGTAGAGGAGGAGAGGGGGGGGTAGATGAGGGGGGGCAGAGCAGGGGGGGAGGGTTCAACGTACGTATACAACTGGCCATGGAGAATAATATGTGAATCAGTCCTGGGCCTCAACTAGGTAAGCCCATCCTTAAACGAGCAGCTGGTACAGTGTAAACATGAGCACAGGGGACAGAAAGGCAGGTGCGAGTGTAGAGCCGGCGACTCCCTCGTGCGCCGTGCCGGCCTTCATCGACGCTCGCTTTGCAGCGCTTGCCCCGGCGGTCTGTGTGGCTACACGGGGGGGGGCCTTGTCTCTGTTGTGCCGCGTGTAGTACACAGTGAGCGAAGACGACTACTTCGCAAACGTCCTCAGCTTCTTCAACTTCTCGGCACGAACGATGGCCAAGCAGCTGCGGAAAACTCCCGAGAGAGACACGTACGCACACGCACGCGCATGCACACGCACGCGCACGCACGCGCAGGGATGTACGTGCGTGCACACATAACAAACTTATTTAAGGCGCCACTGAGCTGCGTAGCTCTCTTTCAGAAGCGACCTGGCCACAAACGATAGCCCAGCGAAGTGGCTTATCGCGTGGACATTTATTGCAGGAAAATGCTCTAAACGCGTGATGTTTTTAAATGTGGAGGGGAAAATTGGAGAAGCTGGAGAAATAGAAACATGACCACGGAGAGAGAGACGGGCAAGCTCCAAATATACAGCAGCAGGCGTCAGGGTTGGAATTGAACCCACGACCTCCTGCATACCGGGCGAAGACGTTAACATCTCGCCACCGCGGCACCCAACATGATGCACGCACGCGCAGGATAAAGGTCAGGGTTGGGGTCGCCAGAGGGAGTGATGGACGACGCTGGGGCGTGTGGAGGAGTGAGCTCCAAGGAATGAGTGGGTATGTGGAACCGGGATTGTGGCCTTGGGTTCTCAAGAGGGAATTGGGATCACCCACACACAAAGACAAGTAGCAACGTCGTCCCCTACTGCGACAACTTGGCAGGACCCTCCTGAAAGATAGTCATGATGCTCAGTGAGGATTCCCTGGGTGAAATAGTGTAATTATGAAGGCTCGACAAGGGATTGATGTTTGTGTGTGTGTGCACGTGTTCCCGGGGAGCAGTAGTGCAGTGATTAGCGCCCTTGGCTAGCAACCCGGCAACGCGAGTTTGAGTCCCACTCACGGCCAACACCACCAGTGACGATTAACTGAACCGGTCCTGGGCATCCCCGAGGTCGACTCGGCTTCAAATGAGTACCTGGTGCGCCACTAAGGAGACAAAGGCGGCTGGGTGTGGTGCTGGCCACCCGCTCCCTTCATAGGCGCTGCTCGCGAACAGCACTTTCCCCAACAGTTCGTTGAGGCTCTGTGGGGGATCTTTGTCTTTGTTCCCACGTCGCCCCCCACCCCCCAGCTGGAGCATGACCCCCCCAACGGTGAACGCGTACTACGGGCTGAGCCGCAACGTGATCGTATTCCCCGCGGGCATCCTGCAGCCCCCCTTCTACAGCAGCGACTTCCCCAAGTGAGTGCATCGTTCGTACGACTCGGCGGCGTGTGCGCGTACCTGTAAAGAGTACAACGCACGTGCCGCTGTGCCCTCGGTGTCCGTTTTTTAGTTGTCCGTGTGCGTGTTTTGTACTTATCCGTGTGTGTGTGTGTCTGTGCGCGCGTTCTCGTGTCCCCCGTTTCGGTGCAGAGCGCTGAACTTCGGTGGGATCGGAATGGTGATGGGTCACGAGCTGACGCACGCGTTCGACGATCAGGGTAGGGCCACGCTCGTGCCACGACACCCCCTGCCAGGCCGAGCCACGCGCCTCGCGCACCCCGGCCGTGTCCCCACGACCAGCGCAGCGCAGCAGCCCGCACCCAGGCTTGGTTCACCTAAACCTGGATTGGCGGCCCAGTCTAACGCACACGCAGCCTCGCCTAACCTCGCGTAGCTTCAGACACCCTTGGCCGGTGGCCGGCCAAAAGCCGCTGCGAGGATGACCGGAGTCGGTGTGATGGTTTACGTTCGTTGACGAGATCGGCGAAGGTGTTGCGGGGAGACCGAGACGGGCATCTCCGCCGCGTTGCCCGCCTGCCCGCCCCGCAGGCCGTGAGTACGACGCGGAGGGGAACCTGCGGTCGTGGTGGGGGAACGAGAGCCTCACGGCGTTCCACAGCCACACGGCGTGCATGGAGCGCCAGTACAGCTCCTTCACCGTGGCCGGGGAGCACGTGGACGGCCGCCGCACGCTGGGAGAGAACATCGCCGACAACGGCGGCCTCAAGTCGGCCTACCACGTGCGTGGGGCTCGCGCGCGGGCCGAGCGCAGCGGCGGTTAGAACGACGTGGAGGGGACGACGGGCGGTGGACGGGCGTGCCATCTGCGATTAACGAACCGGGGGGGAATCTGCCGCAGTGGCGAGATGTTAGCCAGCTCGCCTGGTACGCAGGAGGGCGTGGGTTTGATCCCGACCCTGGTGACGCCTGCCGCTGTATATTTGGAGAGTTTGCGTGTCTCTCTGTCTCCCCGTGGTCACGTGGTGTTTTTCTACCGCGTCCTCCGGATTTTCCCTCCACATTTACAACCGACATGCGTTTACAGTGTTTGGCTGCTGTACATTTCCATGTGATAAGCCGCTTTGTTGAGCTATCATTTGTGGCCAGGTCGCTTCTGAAAAAGAACTGTGTAGCTCAGTGGGGCCTTACCTGCTAAACTAAATTAAAGTTTAGTCGTTTTTATAATCGGTTTGGTAACTTTCCAAAGACAGCATGTACGAATAAGTACAGTGTCTCTGTGTCTGTGTGTGTCTCTATCTGTGTGTGTCTCTGTGTGTCTGTGTGTGCTTGTTTCTCTTTGCCTGTATCTGTCTCTCTGTCTCTTGTCTTTTTGTGTCCGTGTGCATGTCTTTCTCTGTGGGGAGCTGGAGCGTCGTGGTTAACGCACTGTGCAACAATCCCAGGGACCCGAGTTTGATTCCGACTCACGGTCAACATTGCCGATACATTTCTGAACCGGGTTCTGGGATTCCCCCAGGGCGACTCAGCCTTAATTGAATAGCTGGTGCGGTCATGTAAACATCAGCACTGGGGAGACAAAGGAGGCCGGGCATTGTGTTGAAACACCTATCCCCTTGTGTGCCATGCCGGCCTGCATAGGTGCTACTTGCTAACAACACTTGCCCCAACAGTATGTTAAGGCTATACGGGGGGGTCTTTGTTTATGCCAGACCCACGAGAGCTGTGAGTGTGCGCGTGCATTGGCCACCCACCCCCCTCGTGTGGCGTTCCAGCCTTCATAGGGTGCTCCTCGCGAACAACACGTTTCTGTCTCTGTGCGTGTGCGCGTGAGCCAGGCTTACGAGAGCTGGGTGAGTTCGCACGGGGAGGAGGATTTGCTGCCTGGCGTGGGACTCACCAACTCCCAGCTCTTCTTCGTGGGATTCGCGCAGGTGACACGAGGCTGCCCGGCGTGCATGTCCCCAGCGGGCTCGGGAACGGCGTTACGAGGCAGAGGCCGCCAGACATCGTGGACCGCGACGCTGTCGTAGTGGTAGTCGTGGGCTGTTCGTGACAAATATTTTATCCACTATAGAGTTGAGATTTTCTTTTTGTTTTGGGGTTCGGTCGCGTAAATAAAAGATGTGTCGTTAAACCCCGCCACCACCCGACACGGCCAAATCGTAGGGTTTGTCACGTAAACAAAACGTGGCAATGCGTTACTCGTACAGCACACGGGTGTGTTGGAGAGCGAACCCACAACATTTACAATTCGGGTACGACGTTTCGCCGGTGATCACAACGACCGGCATCGTCAGTCGATTAGCCAGAATATTTAAGGCCAAAAACGGGAAGAAATCCTTCACAAGTGGGAATCGAGGTGATGTCGTCTCTGTGGGCCTATCACGTGCGAAGACCAGAGGGGCGAGGGTTAATGTCGTCATATAAATGACAATGGATCATGTTGATCTGAGAATATGTAGCACCTATTATTGGTTGGGTTGTCCACGGTTGAACAACATACAATGGAAAGGTTGACTATTTATTTTGTTGTCCCATCCTACGCCTCCGACTAGTATGGTCGGCCACGTGCAGGGCGCGACAGAAGCTCAACATACACACACATCATGTTGATCTGAGGGTATGCAGGCTATATATGCGGTCCCTATTATTGGCTCCTCACGGTTAATCAACGTGCTTGTTACGCAGCTGCCAATGTTCCTCGTCCCAGAAAAGTCGCCAGATTTTGTCACGTTGAAATGTTTGTCTTTTTAGTATTTGACTCCTGCTGTACATTTCCACGCGATAAGCCACTTGGATGAGCTATCATTTGTGGCCGGGTAGCTTCTGAAAAAGAGCTCCGTGTGGTGCCTCACCTGGTCAAATACAAATAGTTCTTGGTTATTTTAAAGGTTTTGTCGCCAGGGAAACTCGCCGCTCGATCTGGCGGCAAAACCCCTTGAGTTGGTGACGCTGACGGTGACCTTCCCTTCCCCCTCCCGCCTCCCACCCGTCACCACCTCCTCCCTCTTCCCTTCCTCCCGCTCTCCCCTGGTGCCATCGCCACCCGCTTGCTGCTGGCGCCGTCGCCTGGCAGATGTGGTGCGCGGTGCGGACGGCGGAGAGCGCTCACGAGGGGCTGCTGGCCGACCCGCACAGCCCGTCGCACCTCCGCGTCGCCGGCTCCGTCTCCAACTCGGAGGAGTTTGCGCGCCACTTCTCCTGCGCTCCCGGCACTCCCATGAACCCCACCGACAGGTGCTCCGTGTGGTGACCACGAGACCACGATGGTGGCGGCAGCGGCGGCGATGACCGCGGCGGTGGTGGTGGTGGTGGTGTTATTGTTCGTGATGGTGGTGTTGTGTTGTGTGTGTATGTTGAACTTCTTTTGCACTGTACGTAGCCAACCATGCAAACGGAGGTGCGGGTGAAGGACAACAAACTAAACACACAAAGCAGTTGTCAAGAAATGAGTTTGTCCGTCTAGATGATTAAAAAATGCGTAGCTCCCTGTGGCCTTCCTAATGTCGAACGGAAGAGCGTTGCAGACGGCTGCAAAAGGGCGTCTAAAAGCGCGTGATGGAGTGACCGTCTTTGTTCGATGGATAGCCAAACAGAAAGTTGGTACATGATAATGGCATCTTTGTCTCAATGTCATCGCCGCCGCCGCCGCCAGCAACAGCTGCCCCAACCACCGACAGCAGCGGCAGCGTCACTGTTGTCACCTCTGTAAACCGACCGCGGTAAAGTTCAAGCATTGCCAAACCCACCGTCGCCAACGGTGAATGACTCTACCGGTGTCATGTTCAAGCGTCATTGTTAACTTGCCACAGCAACCTGCACCACGACTTCCACTGGAATTCACTTTCACTGCCACCGTCAAATTTACAAAAAGCGACTGGGTCACAACCTGCAGCAGCACCACCACGGTAAACTCCCTCCGCCAACCTCGCCATCAACGCCGTCACCGCCCCCAACAACCCTTAACGATCGACAGCATTGTCCTCATCATCATCATCATCAAATCCACCATCACAACAATAGACCACGTGCATCGGCACCACAAAGACCATGACGTTAAATGATTTGCTTAAGCACGACCACGAACCCTCGTGCCCTTGACGAGTCTGGCTGAGCAGAATGATGCGTTTTGTCGTACGTTTGTATATTGCGCCTATATTAAAACTGAATTGGAGGTAAATTCAGAAAGTTTACCAAGAGGGCCCTGGGTTATTAAACGACAAGGATTTGCGGTGAAGTCGCCTTGGTGTTACGGGTACCACGGTGGCTATGAGATGTTAAATACCTCGCCTGGTATACAGGAGGTCGTGGGTTCGACCCGCCTTCTTCTTTGTCTTCTGCTTCACAGAGCCGTGCCGTGTTTTTGCGTGTCAAGGGGCGCGCGGCGGGCGGTGTCGTGTGAAAGGGCTGCATTCCCTACGACTGTTCCATGGGCAGGGAAGTTTTCTGGGGGGGGGGGGGGGAGGGGTGATATTCTACAGGGTAAGCGAATGGGGGGGGAGGGGGGCTCTCAGCCGTGGTAACTTATTGTTGTTGTTATTCTTGGTTCTTTCGGTAAAGTCACGTAGAAGGGAAACAATAAAATAATAAAAATATAAAATAATAAAATTCTCACGACGTTTCGACTGCAACACAAGCAATCATCATCAGGTGTGAAAACCACAGCAAGAAAATGGGCGTACTTGCTGGATGCGGTGTTGCGCGTGTGGAATTATCTCCCGGGTAGACTGGAGCAGGTGGTGGCACACGAAGCCACTTGGCCACGAGTTGAGATGCGGTGTGCCGGGTTTTTGAAAAAAAAATTCTGGATCACTGACCCAGACAGACGCCGGTGAATTTCAGCCCTGCCTGAGCAATGCAGCAGCGTTTGGCGCGCGACTTGAAAAGCTGTCCGCCTTTGATTACTATTGATTAACTTAATGTAATCCTGAATTTTGTTCGATTACAAATAATGTAATCTGGCTACTTTACTTACTTTTCATGATTGCTTTTTTTTTTTTCAAATGGGCACTAAGGTAGCTTAACCTAAGAAAATCCAGCACTGTGCTACGGCTATAGCCATTTGGCAGTGGCTGGAAATCTGTGGGCAATGAGCCCAGACCAGCGCGCCACGGTGGCGAGATGTTAACTACCTCGCCTGGTATACAGGAGGTCGTGGGTTCGATCCCGACCCTGACGCCTGCTGCTGTATATTTGGAGTTTGCGGTGTCTCTCTCCCCTTGGTGGTGTGGATTTGTCTTCGGGTCCTCCGGTTTTTCCCTCCACATTTAAAATCAAGGTGCGTTCCGAGTATTTGGCTGCTATAAATTTGCACGTGATAAGCCACTTCTCGTTGGGCTATCATTTGTGGCAGCCAGGTCGCTTCTGAAAAGCAGCTACATAGCTCAGTGGGGCCTTTCCTGGTAAAGTAAAAAGTTTAGCAAGAGTTTAGACATCTTTTCACTTATCGGTACCACCTGAGATGGCATCGCGTTCCCCGTTCTCATTTCTTTATATGGGGCCAACAGCGGGGAAGTCTGTGATACCCATTTCAAATGAGTGGGGGTTAACCTTCATAATTCACCCTAACCAGCCATATGAATGAATCGCAAAGAATAATGTGATATGCCACCTGGGCCTGATGCCAGTTTCTGCCCTGGTCTACATGGGCTCCTGTGTGCACTTTGCATTAGCCCCGAGCTGCGTGCTCCGTCGTTCCTTTCATTGGTGTTTGGGAATCAAAGGCGATGCTAAAGTTAAAGGACGGGAGTCAAACCCCTCTTAACGACGGTAATTGGTTCCACCAAACGGGTCATTCAGTGCTTTTAGCGAGTAGAGGAGTTGCATGTTAAAGACTGGATTAGTTCCAGTAGCATCGAAAGTTACCCCTTTTCACCCAAAAAACGTGCTTTATAATATTTAAACAATTGATATTCATACATAAAGATAGTAACAACATACACACAATATTAAAATATATATGGTTAGTCAATGCATTAATTTATAATTACCGTACCTACAACAGCCCGTCGTGAACGGGGCAATGGTCGGTAAGCGGACACATTGGGCTCTATGGAGACACTACACTACACTATATACTACACTATTATACACTATACTATTATACACTACACTATTATACACTACAATACTATACACTGCACCATTATACACTACAATACTATACACTACACCATTATACACTACAATACTATACACTATATTATACACTACACTACTATACACTACACTATTATACACTACACTATTATACACTACACTACTATACACTACACTACTATACACTACACTACTATACACTACTATACACTACACTATTATACACTACACTATTATGCACTACACTATTATACACTACACTATTATACACTACACTTCTATACACTACACTACTATACACTACACTACTATACACTACACTATTATACACTACACTATTATACACTACACTATTATACACTACACTACTATACACTACACTATTATACACTACAATACTATACACTACAATACTATACACTACACTATTATACACTATACACTACACTATTATACACTACACTATTATACACTACACTACCATACACTACACTACTATACACTACAATACTATACACTACAATACTATAAACTACACTATTATACACTACACTATTATACACTACACTATTATACACTACACTACTATACACTACACTACTATACACTACAATACTATACACACACTATTATACACCACTATTATACACTACACTACTATACACTACACTATTATACACTACAATACTATACACTACAATACTATACACCACTATTATACACTACACTATACACTACTATACACTACACTATACACTACACTATACACGACACATTGGGCTCTCTGCAAGTCCGTCGTTAAGCGATTAGTCGTTAAGAGGGGCTCCACTCTCCACGGCTGCATTGCCGCTCATCGCCTTTGTTCATCCGATGTGAGAGCAGTGACGCCCCAACGCGTGGGGGTCTCGTGCGCGTTGCCTCCCCAACACCAAATCCGCGCAGATGCAAAATGCCATTCGTGCCTTGGTGTGCGCGCACACAAATTGCTGTATGTTGGGCGAGGTGGGGGTGGGGGGGTCGACTTGTGAGCGCGTTCATTTTGGTCGACGTGTACATAAAGGCGTGCAACGTGATGCAGTGAGGTCCCCGCGTGTGTTCATTCGGTTCTCGCGTGGGGTCCCGCGCGTTGAGAGGAACCGACCGCCGCACGATTGGTGACGAGTCGTCGTTCCTTTGCGCCCGTTCGCTCGTCGTGCTCGCTCGGCGTGCGTGCACGTGTGTAACGCCGTAGCCGCGTGTCCCGCGTGTCCCGCGTGTGTTTGCAAAGTCGTCACGCAGTCATCGTCACCGGCCGTGATTGATCCACTGCTGGATGAAGACCTCCGACCAACCCCAGGGGTCTCGCCGTCTCTCGCAGTATCGCAATCTTGCTATGCTCTCGGCAGTGTTCCATGGCTGCCCCGGTATCGCTGTTCTTCGCCATCGGTCATGAACCCTTCCAAGCGAACGCGTCCAGCACAAACGGCCCACTGGCTCTCAATTTTAACCCTCTCCCATCCCGAGACGTCCGCGAGTTGCAGGCTGGCTGCCCCCGTTCGCCGCAGAATTTCGGAGCACGCAAGCGGCTCAACGTTCATTTTAATGATAGGAGGCGTAGCAGCGCCGCCGGTTTTAAAGACATCGTTACTCACCGCAGAGAAGCGTAGCGACGCGACCACCGCACTCTGCGATAGCTGGCGCCAAACTGTACCACACGCCCTCCCGCGTGGTTCTTGTGGGAGCCTCGGTGCGGATAAAGTTATTTTATTTTCGCTTTTCTTCCAGTTTCGTTTTGGTGATGTGCACGTACGTCATTGGAACGGGAATGGGTTAAGTTTGAAATGACGTCTTTAAACCTGCGCTCGTTCTCCAATCCACGTGTACCGCTCCATCTCTCGTTGGGATCGAGAAGATGTCCCTCCATGTCCTATTGCAACTTGACAGCAAATACAGTCTTGCGCTTTCAATGGGCTAGCGGGGGCTGCATTGTCGGCAGCGGGCGGTGCACAAACCCCCATTGTTGTGAGGTGCTTTGCTCCAGCGTCTATGCTCCTCGTCTTTGCCAACCAGCACCGGCCCACGTGGTGAAGTATGGTCGAATACACCCAACGTGTGTCCCACACGGGGTGGGGGAGGCTCCTCTAATCCAGCAGTGGATCGACCGTGTGCATCGGAATTGAAAGCAAATCTCGCGTCCAGTCCCCGAGCGTGTTACGAACCCGTGCAGCTGAGGGGCAACAACAGCAAGCGGCGGTGACGTCTCCACGGTGATTGTGCCAGACACGGTGCACTGTTGAGGCGGCAGCCACGTTCACCCATACCCCACGATTTCATCTAAAATACGTAAACAATGCGGTGAATGTAGCGGCCTGTAGCGGCTGCAGGTGCCGTTATAAATAACTTGAAACAGATATCGATGGCAAGCACGGATGAGACGGTGACTGATCGTGTGTGTGTCAGAGGGCGCCACGGTGGCTAGAAGCTGTTAACTCCCTCGCCTGGTATACAGGAGGTCGTGGGTTCCATCCCGACCCTGACGCCTGCTGCTGCTTCTGCTGTATATTTGGAGTTTGCGGTGTCTCTCTCTCCCCGTGGTCACGTGGTATTTGTCTTTGAGTCCTCCGGTTCTTTCCCTCCATATTTATAATCAACATCACGCGTTTTAGAGTATTTGGCTGCTTGAAATTTCCACTTGATAAGCCACTTCGTTGAGCTATCACTTGTGGTCAGTTCGCTTCTGACAAGAGCTATGAAGCTCAATGGGCCTTACCTCGTCTAATGAAATGAAATGTTTAATTATTTAGTAGCTAAAGGAGGCTTCAGGTCACTTGTGCAATGTGTTTTTTAAAGTGGTCGTGGCTTGGGCGTCCCTCGGACGTGGCCACTGACTTGTATGTATATCTTACACTACTGCAGTGCAATGCATATGATGATGTAGTGGGTAAATAACTGGAGGAGAGTTTATTTGAGGCAACACTGTTTATTAACAGCAACTGCTAACACTAAGGGGTAACGGCCCCTTACACCCGATACGCTACGGAGTCAGCCCCTCCGGACAATTACGCCTCCCACTGACTAATATCCATCTTCTTGAGTGAGGCTTAAGTCTTCAGTGGTAGAAGCTGGAGCCGAGCCCCCCCGTGCTGCCAGGGATTCGGCTCTGCCCCTTGGGCTCTTCTCTTCAGGAGGCCCTCTTCAGTCTTCAGGCGAACGACGACTGCCGAACATTCCAGCA